GGGTACTCCTTTTCTTACAGCGCAGAGTGGCAACAACAAGGTGATGATCGGTCGATAGCTCTGCGCCTCTTTTAAGACGAACATTAATTACTGAGCGTCTTAGGTCAGACGATACGATTATCAAAACGATCATCGACTTCTGTGCATGAGATTCCCGGTACAAGGTGTACTGATGCACTTTTTGATGCTCGAAAAAAGTGTTCATAATGGACAATCCATTGTTTGCACAAAACTGCAACAACTTCATGCGTTATTGTTGAGGTCGCTATTGCCGTTTTTCCCAATCACGCCGTTCCCCTTTTCAACGTCTTTTCCGACGTGCGCATTGAAATCTCCCATCAGTATCGCTCTTATTTAATGTACTAATCTGTGTTGCAGTTGAATGATTTTCGCACCAATGACTGTGACGGCAAGAACGGAGGTTCTGCATAGTCTATGAAAATCTGAAAAATTCTTAGAAAGTATTCGGGTAAAGCAAGGGATTTGCTCAAATCTCCACTTTTGCAGATAAAGATATTCCTGTCGAATGAGCACATATTCACGATCCACCGACATTGATTATTTTTGTTAATATATTCGACGAAATAGAACAAAATTTTTTCGACCTGTTTTTATATATGTTGTATACAAGTATAACAAAAAATTGATTTTTCGTACACTGGATTTTTCGCAGAAACAAGTCTGAAGTGGCAAAGAATACGATTTGCGCATCACATTGTCGTGATGCGGGAATTTGGTGTCTAAGTTGGTACCGTTCATTCTGCTTACAACCCAGAAACTGAACGCCTGCATATTATGTAAAAATGACTAGAGTAAAGAAATTATTTTACGACACTTATTGAAACTCACTGTAGATATGAAAACTACTATCGGCATAGTAGTCGACCCCGTAATCTCAAACCAAACTGTACTTGGAGAATGAGGGCTTTCGAATTTTAGCAAAATAAGCAGTTCATTGCCATCTTAGAACTACAAGTGTCTTCATAACAATAGAAAACGTAAAGTATTAACTTTATTAATAATACTCAGTTGACCAGATCTACGTGGGGAAAATCAAATCTGAAAAGACCTTAAAGTTAAGAAAGATCAAAACAGGCTCTTCATTCAATCCAACAAATGATCGTTCGGGAGGAATGGCACGTAGATATAGTTATTTCTGAACGTAGAATACCAGATATAAGCTGTGAAGATTATTTTTTACTCGGTGCCTTACGGTCACGAATTTTTCCTTATCGATCTGAAAGATCTTATGTGTTCATTGGCCCTTACAACGAACATTGTATGACTTAAAATATCGTTAATTTTGGACATATGTTATATCGGAGTTATATTCTTTGAAAAGCATATTCGAAAACGTTTTTATACTTCATGGAAATGATTCTTTCACATGGAAAATTGCTTCTCAAAGGAGTGTGTGTACTTTGCAGTTAAAAGTTTAATACGATATCGTAGCATCGAACATCTCTTTTTAATCAAATTGCAAAACTAGTGTACGGTAGCGATGTTTTGTCGCGAGGGACCATGAACAGAACAGATGATGCCGGACAATGAATTTAGAAATAAGCAAAGAAATCGGGGTCTCAAACTTTGCAAGCACATGTTGCTTAACGGACGGTAAATATGATAGATTCTGTGGAACAGCTAATGTTAAAAGCGATTTGCAGTGCTTTCCGATTTGCCCTTGCCTCAGCCGATTCCAGAACTGGTTGGTGTCAATAGATCTTTGTTATTTCATCAAAGAATCTCCGAAGAATGTCAGCGACTACTTGCATGTCACGACATGAATTTAGCCTCGCTACTAGCGACGGCCATTTCCAAAGCGGCCTGCGAACCGTTGTACGACTTTATTCAATCCTAATTTGGTCTTTTGCTGGTCTTCGTTCGTACTGCATGGCGTTTGCTTGGGCTTGGTTTGGTGCCCGGCCGAGATCGTTTCCGGTCTTCCGTCTGTTTGCTTGTCTGCTTGTCCTTGTTTTGCCGAACTTTTTTTTTATGAGGCTTTAGTGCTGACTGGCATCAAGAAAGAACAGTTTATTTTTTGACGCTCACATGTTAAGATTTCCTGGAGATAGAAAGCATAAAAAGCGGCTTCCCGCAGTTAAATGACAATGACATTGCTCAAATAGTTGAGTCACTATTGCGTTGACGACGTCGGAACATCGAAAATTGGGCACTCTTTTGGCTTCGTCGGTGATCGACCTTTATAGGCCATTAGAGTCTAGCGTACTCCTTCGGCGTCGGTGAACATGAAATGCGTGGCATTATTGTTCAAGCGGTCATTAAGAAATTTGCGCTTACAAAGTATGGTCATTTTTGATCGCTTTTTCTGGGACTCGGCTGTTGGATCACCACATATAAGCATAAGAAGAATAACGGCGGTTGTCGACGAGGGTTTCTGTGGTAGAACAGGATTGTCATGGTTATTAGATACACTTAGG